AGACCAGCCGAGCCAGGAAGCGAGGCACGTGCCGGAGCCAATCACTGCTTCAGAGCCTGCAGCAAAGGGGACTAAAGAGGCAATCCAGACCATGTCATTTTTACTCTTGATCTTAGAGCTGTTTGTATCCAACTGACATCGTTATGCCGGTGACTTAACTACCAATATCCCAAGGTTATATATATATATAATATATTATACATACACACATTAAAAAGAGGGAGCAAAATGAGTTGTGGAGGTTTCTATTTTGCTAGAGATGCTGTGTCCCAGTGTCCCAGCATGGTTTCACATGATGCAGCAAGGAGGCTGAGCCAGGTGATGGTTATTTCTATCCCACCACGCCCAGGATGCTCTCCCCTACACTAACTTCAAATGCCTCCACTCCCCCCCCGCCCAACTTCCTACCTTGTCCCCTCCTCCCTGACTCTCCCTGGCCCCAGTCCCTCAACTGAGCTTTCAGAGGGCCAGGGATCTGAAACCATCCTCAACAAATACGCACCTACCACACCAGCTAACTGGGATGGTCCTGCAGTCGCCTAGTTCTGCTTCGTCATCTGTGTAAAATAACCCCATAAAGGAGTAGTGCCAGCAGTAAGCCATCACACCAGTCAACACCAACCTCTCCCACTCCTCCTCAGAAGGGCCATGGCATTCTGCTTGCCTGTGCCTTCTGGAGATGGACACTGTAGCTATCATTGCTTGTGGTACCTAAGATGCCAAGAGACACAAAATTACTGTTACTCTGAGAAGTCACCAGTCCCATTCTCCTCCTTGCTACCACTGCAGCTCGCCTCAAATCCTCATCTAATTCCAAAAGTGACCGGCGTGGCACCTGCAAAACCAAAGAGAAACGCTTAACCAAGCTGCCGTGATTTCCTGCTCTGGGATGCCAGCCCTGGCTCACATTCTTGGACCGCTTACTGGGATATGGCTTTGTCCCTCCGAGGCTGCTTACAGCACGTGAAAGCCACCAAAGCAAAAGCCACACACTGAAGTGCTGCCCAAAACTGTAGCCTGCCTGCACCGATTCCCATCTTCTGTTTCTTTACCTCAGCTGCTCCTCGCCACCTCTGCCATTTACAGGTTGCTGCACTGAGGCTTGGGTGACAAGTGACACAAACTACCTCCCTACCTACAAAGCCCCTTAGGGAATTACAGAGGTGGTCAGCCAATAGAAAAAGTGCAATGCTTGCGACATGGTGACTCAAAGATCAGAAATGGGCACCTTACGACTACAGAAACTGGTGCTAAAAACACAATAGATAAGCAAGAACAAGAAAACCTAACTGCCATGACCAGCACTAGAGCAAACCTCATCGCACACTTAAGGAAAAAGTCAAAACTGGAAAATAAAAAAGCTTGTGTGTTGGGATCACAATAAAAGACAGATCCCTAGCTGGAGATTTTTTTTTTTTTTTTTTTTTTTTACAAGCACATATATACACATCCTCCTCTCCAAGAAATGCCAGCAAATACAGTCACTCGACCCTGCGCTGGAGACAATCACCTAGTCCATGTCTCTAAGTAACTGTGAAATCCAGATGGCCAGTGAAGGGATGGATGCAAAAATTAAGTCAGGAAATGAAGAAAGTAAAAGGCGCAGAGAGTTCAGGAGGGTATATTTTGATGTACTCCTTGCTTTACAAGATGAGACTCTTCTGACATTCAGCCCCGTGTATTCTGATGCAGAGGAACGGGGATGGTTTATGCTGCATCTCTCAGGACCGTCGTACCTTCTGTCATCTGCAGGAAGACTAAAACAGAACAGACCTCACTGAGATCCAAATCCAACTGCAAAGCTGACCTGAGAAAGGCTGATGAACCCTCCTCCCGTTCCCAACCATCCCCCAGTCCCAAAACTTTAGAAACCCCTTCTCTTCTCCTGAACTCTCAGGGAAGCAACCCCACTCCTCCTGATGGCCCCTTTCCTGTATTTGTACCCCTCAAACCCCGTGTCAGCTGCTCTTCTGAGCCGTGCTCTGCGTTCTGCAGGCAGCTTCTCTCTTCCAATTTCCTGCAAAGTCTGGGCTCTGCTACAGGCCCACAAAATAAGTGAAGTCCTGATGCTTATAATCCATGAGGGGCCTGTCGCAAGCTGGGGAGGTTCTAGGACCAACGTGGTACTCCATCAGCAACCAGGAAAGGCAATGAGCTGTCCTGTACCCTGAAAGATGCTATACCTTATGTCCTTGCTGCTTTCCTAAGAAATACTAAAACTCCATCAACAGATGCATATAAGGTGTTCACCCTAAACCCTGCTAGATGATCTCACTATCAGTCCTATCAAAAGAGATGACATCAGAAACTTACACCATAAACAGCAAAACTGGTGAAAAAACCCTGAGGTTCCATCTCCAATAAAGCCAGGAATTGAAGTAAAATATAATGAACCTAGAATAAAAAAAAATTACATACTATTGAATCATCTTGCAAGCTCCTGAACACTCAACACAAAGTTATTAACTTGGAAAAACCCCTAAAGCTGCATACAAGCGTGTTTTCTTTGCTATATCCTGCTTAACCTCAACTATTCCTGAAGCTCTTACCTCAGATACCTCTGCTTCCCTAAACATCAAAACCAACAGCTGAACCAACTCAAAAGCTGCCACTGACTGAAGGCACAGCAGAGCACCAACACCAGAGAAGCCCAGGAGCAGAATGAGCTCCCTGGCCCAGAGCTGTGGCTCATAGACCCCGGGCCCTGCCCACCATCCTGCCCACCATCCTGCCCACCATCCTCTGGGCAAGGGGTGGGGCCGACCACCACGAGGCTTGAAGGCGACCGGAGGAGGTACCGTGGGTTTTCTGATCTGCCTGGAGTTTGTGCTCTGCAAAGTGCTGAATGGAGAAAGCGATCCTTACTGGAAATGATGATACCTGCTCTTTTACCTCAGCTACATCTATTGCATCAGCAACAGGTGGGTAATTAAACTTAATTTTTCTGGGGCGTAGAGAGGAAAAGATAAATGTCATCCTAAATTATGTAGGAAAGCAGTTTGTTAAATGCAATAGCAATATTGAAAATTATGTGCTTTAATTTACTGTAAAAAACCCAAAAATGCTATAGTTATGCATCATTTCTAGGGAGATGATGTGTGCATGTGGGTTAGAGAGGTCCCAAAGGACTGGTGAGACTGAAGAAGTCTCAGGGCCGTGATGAGCTCAAAAGGGAGTTGAACAAAGCGGAGATGTCCTCGGGGGACCGAATGGAAATGTGAGGAACGGATGAGAGGATTGGGGTAACAGGTGCAGGCTCAGGAGGGGTTCTGAGGGGAAAAGAGGGGTGCAAATTGCCTTCCCAAGCTAAAACAGGGCTCCGGGGTGTAGGGGATGTCTCGCAAGAGCTCGGCAAAGGGAGCGAAAGAGTCCTGAAGGGGCCCGACAGATCAAAAAAGCCTCAGAACTCTGAAGGGGACTTTGACAAAGTACAGATGTTGTCGGGGAGCCGGGAGCTGAATGAAGACATCCTAAACTGCAAAGAGTAACGCAGGAGCGCTCTGAAGGGCACAAAAAACCCCAAAGTTGACTGTCCCTCCCACCATTGACCAGCATCCAGCCTCCAAACTGAAAATGTCCAACCCCTGCTCCCAGGTGAAAGGGGCCAGACCTGAAAGCGGTGCCTGGACTGAAACCTTCCTCAGCGGCCCTGTCCTGGTTTCAGCTGAGAGGGTTAAT